GGAACTTTCTCTGAAACTGTTTAAATAACTTACAAAAGGCTTACAGAAGACAGTGTTTGTTGCTGTCTCACCGGTACTTCTAGTGGCTATGGGCATAATTCTGTTCCTGTGTGCACAGTGGAGCTGCCCCTGTCAGAAGGGCAAGTCTCACAAAGACATTTCAGCACATTAGTCAAGGTTTCATGTTGGATTTATTTGGTGCTGAACAGCAAATACTTCAGAGAATTGTAATTTTGCTGGTTTGCTCTTTCCAAAAAGCACATTGGTGAATGTTTTCCTTACCTCTTCTATCACTTTGTGGTTCAAATTAACCATCCAGCATTGCTTGGGGTGGGAATAACTTCAGTTTGGCAACCAGCTTCCCATCTTCTGCATTATTGGTATTTAGCATCTTGCTTTCCCTTTTCAACCATGTTTTTAGGAAAAGATGGGGTTTCTGTTACTCACAGGTACCTGCCAGCATTTAGCGTGCTAGAGACTGGTGGGATCAGAGCTCAAAACACAGATTTCTAAGTACTTAAGTGATATACCAGGTTGGGATATTTTGTATTCAAAGGCTTCCTCTATGTGGAGATAACCTGCTAATGTTTATTTTGATACTTCTAAATCCGGGATGTTCCTAAATCCCTGTGTTGGCTGCCAAACCAAACCACTTGGTTACAACAGACGCATTGTTGACCTGCTCACCATCTGGGCTGATTGGGCAGTTACTCCCAGCCTCTCCCACTTCTCTGTCATAGAGGGATTGATCTGACACCTCTTGCTTTTAGGAGACTGTCTTCAGAATTCACAAACATTGACTTCCAGGGAGCATCCCAGGTTTATTTTGTAACAGAGTATCAGAGAAAGTTCATCCTGTTGATGGTTCGTATGGAAAAGCTGTAATGAAATGCCACAAGCAGTATTATATTTAGGTGTTCTTGGCCTTCTGCCTTTATCTCCTTGTTGCTTACAGTCTGCATGTTGGGCTCTGTGCATTACTGTTTTTTGGGAAACTCTTCTGGTTATTTCAGGAGAAGAATGGCTGATTCCCTCTTGCAGCTCCATGCAGCATCTCTGGGATCACGTCTAGTTAGCACATGGCTGCTCAATGCACAGTTCTCAGATGGGACAAAGCTTCATTGGGGCATCTTGATACTGCTCGTTTATCTCTTCATGCGGCAGCTTCTCACTGACACAAAGATAGGTCAAAAACCTCCATGGTAAAGGAAAGGACTCTGACACGAGTTGTATCTTAAAATACCTGTTAATGACCAGTGCCTGGAGGCTGTTTGTTTGTCAGTGTTCCACACAGATCCCGAGGTTAATCTTGAGTGGAACAAAAACTGTTTCTAGAGTCATGTGGCTCTTGAAAGGTGCTTCTAAGAAATGTCAAGTCTCTCTTTTGAAATATGGTGGAGATGCTAATAACCTGAAAGGCTGAATGCAGTCCACAGGGAGAGAAGTCCCTTGTTGCTTAGCTATAGGACAAGAACCTTTCTGAAGTCACTAGAGGGATTTATTACAGTTAATGCAGTGGCAGAGGCCTTGAGTGGATTCTGGCATTGCTTGTTCCGAATCTTGTTGCCTTGACCTGTCAGGACAGCCTTCTGTTAATGTGCTAAGTTACAAACAGCAGCTTGAAATAAGCCTGCTATGGCTTTTTCCTTACAATGCAAGGGTAACAGCTTTTACCAATCTTTCTTGTTTTAGGCCAATGTGATGCTTGAATATGATATTGATGAAGCTCAGGCTCTGTTAGAAAAGAATTTGTCAACAGCCACAAGAAACCTTGACCTTCTAGAGGAAGACCTGGATTTTCTTAGAGACCAGTTCACCACTACAGAAGTCAGTATCCTTTTCTTTGTTGGCGGGGGAAGAGGTGCATGTGAGAGCTAACACTGGAAAGTACCAGTTCCCTGATGTTTTTATCTGAGACTGGCTGCCCTTATGATTCTGTAGCACTCCAGAAGTTTCACCTTTCCTAGCAGCGAAAGGGAACATTTTGTTTTCAGTGCTGAGGCTATAGATGTAGCAAGGCTTGTGTTTGTGGTTGCAGAACTAGACTGGGAGTGACTGGAAGCGTGGATCGGTGCAGTGGATTGATGGCCAGGTGGCCATTTCAAAGCAAAGTGACTCTTCCTTCCTCTCTAGAGCATGTTGCTCTTTGATCTATTGCTCATCATACCCGATTCAACTGTGTCCATGTTCTCCAAGCCATGCAAGCCCTGCTGCAGCACGCTTGGTGCTGCTTAGGCATTGCTTAACTTGGGGTTTATGTCTATGTACACTGCTGAGGGCAGCCATCAGGTGAAGCATTAGATGTAGTGAACAAAGGCACAACTGCTTGTTTTTTCAAGTTGATACTTAAGCTGTCTTAGTGCTGCAGGAAGTTACGGGTACCTGAAATAGGCAAAGAGCTGATACAGACAGGGCGACTGACATCAGGAAAGAGTGGCTGTGAGTAAAACTAAAGGTGTGTTTCTCTGGAGTATCTTTTTGGAGGTTTTTAAGTGAATGGTATAAATGCTGCAGTTAGTTAGTAGTATATTCCTGTGTGTTAAGGCTTTGTACCAAGCCAGCTCTTTCATTAAATGGTTTATATATTGACAGTTACAAGTCAGTGAAGTGTGTCCAAGTCTCTAACCTGCTTTCCCCCTTTTTTGTCTTTCTTTTTCCTATCTGAATGCACAGGCTCTTTCCTTAATTCCACACTCTCAGATATGGCTAGAGTTTATAATTGGGATGTAAAGAGAAGAAACAAGCAAGACCCTTCCAAAAACAAAGCATAGTTTTGCCAATTTTAAATGTGGTTTCAATTTCCAAGTATTTTTTATTTAAACACCCCCAAAGTTCATTCTCAAGGGACTGAGTTACTTTAAGCATTTCAGTAAAGGGTAAAATGTATAAAAACTAATGGTGACCACCATTTTATTTATTTGTAAACTCAGAATTTGGTTTCATGCATGCTTCAGGAAATGAATTATTTGAAAAGGCACCATGGAGTCCAGCAAAGGACAGAGTATTTTGATCAGACCAGTCTGTTGTAACTAAATTTCTACCTGAGAGCTTGTCTGCGAAGTTGAGGGGCATGCGTGAAACGAGTCTGGCACTGGAGCAGGGATTTACTTTTTAATCTCTGTGTACAGATGATGGAGCTGAAGGTGACTTGGGCAGGGAGATGTGCAGCTGTGATGTGCTAAGAAACAGAGAAAACAGAGTGAAGTCTTGCATTTTGTTTCAGTCAGTTAACGGGCAGCATCACTCAGTGAGCATTCCCAGATACCCACAGTGGATAAGTGTGGTTTTATTACCAGTGGGTTAGTTAACTGCCTGTAACTGAACTCTCAGCACTTTGCACACAAGACTTTGTGACCTCTCTGCAGAGAGGAGTGGTGAATGAGCAGCACAGGCTGCGTCAGGGCTGCAGGTGATCTCTCCCCTTCGTTCTCATACCCATGTGCACGCTGCCGACTTCTACAAACGCCTTGAACAAGGACCCAAAGCACTGGTAGCCTGTAAACAACCCCCACTTCTGATCCCTTAGACAAGAGGGGTCACCCCTCTCAGCCTCCCAGTGGTGAAACCTGTATCGGGTGAGGGTGCGTTACTGAGGCCCGACTGCTGGTGTCAACAGTTGGAGTCTTTATTGGGGTTTTCCGGCGCCTTGCGAGATTGTTGCCTTTTACCTCTGCAGTTTCTTTCTAAACTGAAATGCTCAGTGGTGATGTCAGTGGCTACATATTCACATTCTGTGACTGAGAATACAGGTTTCGCTGCAAAATAAATGCAAATGTCAACCGTTCAGTCTTCATGTAAGAAACAGTATACCTGTAAATTTTTTGTACTTTTATTTCATGATATTAAAATAGTAAAACTAAGCAGTTGTGGCAAACAGCTGGTTTTGTGCATCTTTCTTTGTGAGGAATCATGGATCTCATCTGATTTTGTTTCCCTCCCTTCATGGGGGTATATGTGTGTGTGTGTGTGTGTGTGTGAAAATGCAGTTGAAGCAGCAGAGATGAGACATGGAGCTGCTGAACAGCAGCTCAAATGAAACAGGGAGTGTGAGTCAGCACATCTGAATTAGCGACCCCGCAGCTCTGTGGCTGTGAAAGAGCAAGAGCTGCAGGGATGGGCAGAACCCAGGGACATCCTTACCACCAGCTGCAGGGAGCACCTGGACTTGGCTCATCCGTACCTGTCATGCAGGGAGATGCTGTTTGTTCCTGTGGCTCCGGCTGTGGCAGAGAAACGTCTGGATCAAATGCATTCTGTGACTAACAGGTACGTGGGGCTGCCAGGCTTGGCTGGGCATGGGGCTGCTCAGCCCACGGACTGCTGTGCTGCCCTGTGTAAGAGCATCAGCACTGACGGGAAGGGCAGCTGCAAACACGTCCTGCTTTCTCCAGCAATTTTCTCTTCAATATTTGGATTAATGAGCTCCCAGCAGGCCAAAGCATGCTCCCGCTGGCTGGTCCTCGGGCAGCCAGCGCCTGCCTGTGCTGGGCACAATGAGATGATGAGTTAAGTGTTTCTGCAGGAGCAAATACTGTGTGCAGCTGACAATGCCCTAATGGTGACAGCGCTGGGGCTGCTCAGTTGATTCAGAAAGTATCAGGCTTGGGATTGGGGTAGGAGATGGCTCTGGCCACAGTGGTTTGGGTGTTTCTTTGATATGAAGTAAGTAAAACCCCAAACCTCATAGACAAGAAGTCATTCTTCCCTTGCCCAGCATTGCTCTGCCCTTTGCTGTCAAGTCTTTGTTACTCCGAGGGAGAGCAGGTCAGCGTGCAGCAGCTGCAGTGGCACTGCTGCTGCCCAGGGGCTGAGGTTGGGTTTGGCTGCTACTGAAGAGTGCAAGGGGTTGGTTTGGGGTTGGCTTTCTGGCTGCTGTTGCTAAGAGTACTTGTTTATTGTTGAGCCAGTCCATGTTAGCTTACTGCGCTATAGAAGTGCAGGACGTAGACAACTTACAGGTAAAGGACAGAGGAGAGGGAGGAAAAAAAAACCCACCAAAGTTTCTTTACAAGTTTTGAATTTCACATTATCACGTAGTAATCATTTTGCTAAATACAAGCATGTTTTCAATCACATACAGACAGCTAAATACAGCAGTATTTTCACATTTCGTTACAGTGCATAACAGAAAGCGGAAAGTGTATCGTACACTTTTATTCCAGAGGGTCTGAGCAGTTGCAGTCTAACATGCAGATTGGTTTTAATGTGTGGTGCAGACCACAGAAAGTAGCTTTCTCTTAGGTTTATTTTTTCTCTTTTTGTCCTAGAGTAAAAGAGCTCCTGACCTTTGTCCTGTGAAAGGTGGCACCTGCTGATTTCTCTAAGCCCCTCTTGCACTAGAAGTCAAAGCATTAAAACCAGTTGTTAGAAAAGAATTCATAGCATATCCTATAAGCTCTTCATCTTAGAAAAAAACATTCCAAATTTTGTACAGATGAATCTACATTTCCTATATTTGAATAAGCTGTCTAGAAAATGCAAGGAATTAGAAAAAAGATGTAGATAATGATTTCTCTATCATTTAATATAACCATTTATTACCTCTAAGTAGTTAAGACTGCGTACATTTTCTTCTGCACTGTTCCTCTTTAGAATCATGATCCTTGTGTTTTTAAATTGAAGACTTACTCTGGAGGCCTGCATGCACTGACTGATGCAGGCTTTCTGGAATTTGTCTCTGGGAGCAGTAAAGGGGAATGTCCAAAACCTATTAAACAAAACAGTGGTTGTCTCATGAAAAGTGATCTTTCTCATACTGGCCAGGTTTCTGCACAGCAAATTACAGAGTTTTACTATTGCTAAAGAACCGTTTGATCCAGCTTCTCACTGCTGTTAGTGCAGCACCCTCAGTGAGGTGGCCCAGGACGCAACCGCTGACCCTGAAACACCAAATTGGTTTCTTGGTGGACTTCCCACTCTGAGAAAGAAAAACTGCCCCTTTTGAACTTGTCTGCCCTTGCCATTGTGAAAACGGGACTCACAGACCCATCCCAGCAAACCTTGTGCTCTCCGCTGGCATCAGCCCATGGGAGCCAGGGCAGCCATGCTCCTGTGGCATGCTCTGCAGCAATCGGCTCCAGCTTTGCTTACCTAGAAAGTTTGTACAGGGATTTCTTGTTGTGGTTTAATCTTCAGGGCACTCAACTTGACCACAGCTGAATCTGCCTTTAGCACAAGGTTTCTGATGTGTTTGTAGCCTATTCAAGAGCAACCAGGGGTTAGAAGCGAGACGCTTACTGTAAGGTGCTGGTCCAGTGCCACCCCTCCCTCCCTCCGACTTCCTACCAGTGTCCCCCCCCCAGTAGGTGCCATACTGCTGCTCCCCTGCAGAGCCCAGGGACTCAAACTGTTCCTAGAACACTGAGAATAAAAGCATTACTCATGTTCAGTGGTTTGGTTGTTGGGTTTTGGGGGTTTTGTACAGCTTTGCTATGGAAACCACAGGGGTTTTAATTCATACAGACCTGCCCATGTGCTGCAAACTGTGAGACCGGGTTCAAAGGGAGAAATAGGCTGAACACAACAGTGATCAAGGCAGCCCACACCTTTACAGACAAGGTAGCTTAAAAAACTGTAAATAAGTATTTTATTCTTCCCTATTTTTAGAGGCCTAAAATCAAGCACTAGATGCTTCCTGTGGTTTTACCTAATCACTCTCTCCTGCCCATTAGCAGATTGGTGTATAAAGCTTTCAAACTCAAGTGGAAAAAAGTCACTATAGGTTTGTTTGCTTTTAATAGGCTGAACTTCCCTCCTTTGCTGTGGGAGCACAGTTACCCTGCTGCACTTCAAAAGCTTAAGTTAAAACTTAGCGGAAGCAAAGCTTCTAAGTGGTGAATGGCATTCCCAGGAAACATCTCCCTACACGTAGCTTTTGTAACATGGCTGCCACCCCATAACCAACCTGAGATGGATCCTCTTTTGTCAAATTAAAACATGGAGGAAAACAAATGTTACTCGAGCTCATCTTGTGGCTTTCCTTTCCACCTGCTCAGACACTCCTGGGGTGTGCTCCTCCTTCCCAGCGCTAGTTTCTTGTCTTCCACAGATGCCAAGAAAGAAAACGACACTTTAACAGCAGAAAATACTGATGGAAGCTGTTGCCTTCTATGCTATTTAACCTCTTTAAAAACAAATCTCACCTTTTAGTATGGCTGACGCACCTGAGTTAAGCTTTTCAAGTTTTTTTTTTGATGTTTGTTTCCCCTGTCTCCCCCTTTTCCATTCCTCCTTGTGACCTGGCTGGTAAGACACCCAAAGAGTCAGCACACTGCTGTTTGTTAGCAAGAGAGAAATGTTGGTGTGTCCCACCTGGCTGCAACACCCCACCCTTAAGCTACAACATATGAGGATGTGGTTCTCTCTGTGCTCCTGACCACTTAATCCTATTGGAAAGCCCTGAACTCGGGTACATTCAAGGTACTCACCTAGGCAGTAAATGTGTAAAAATGCACTGAATAATTACTACTGGAGCAGGAATTGCTACTTAGAGTCCCAGTTCAGCACAGCAAGAAAAGCACTACTGGGGAGGGGAATAATTTAAATGTTAATTACCAGTCAGATAACTACTGTTTTCCTCTTTAAATCTTTGCTATCAAACTAGGTTCAAGAACATAAGAAAGAAAATTCAGAAGTGTGCACACCATGTCAGTAAGCTTCTCCTGTGGAGCCTGGCTTATGAGGAAACAGTATCTGTGCTGCCTTTTCACCTTCCTGTAGTAAACAGCTGACACAAAGGAAGATGTCCTCTTTCTTTCTCTCTGTCTGCCTGTTTCTCATACTATTAAAGTACCAATACTGTGGCTTCGATACCCAACATGGAGCTATGGATTTACTTAAAAGAGGACAAGTACAGTACCCTGGCATGTGCCAGCCCATCCAGCTCTCTGCATACTCTCTCCTGTCTTGTGCAGCCCCTCATTTCTGCTTCCTGTCTCCTTACAACAGCTACATGCACCCTCACTCACTCTCCTGTAGGTTTGTAGCCCCCAGTTCTGAAAGGTTATTTGGAACAGAACATGTCTTTCTGGGGTCTGTTCTGGTGTCCAAAACACTGCGGGAGGCTGTTCACAACGGGAGTGTTGCTCTCCCTTCTCTCACACCGAGTTCACTTAGTAAAGTACATTTGGTTAGTAGAGTTCATCACCACTTGCCTCACTAGAAGAGCTCAGCACAAGCATCGCCTATCTGATTTCACCACTTCTTCTGAAGAGTGCACTACGTTTGGGACAAACCCACTCTTTACCCCTTCCCATCCCTCCTGGATTGAAATGTCCCCCCTTTTAACAAGCTCGTATATATCTCGAGTCAGGTCAGTGAAGGCCTTCTCCACGTTAATGGCATCCCGAGCCGAGGTCTCAATGTACTTCATACCATATGCAGCAGCCAGTTTCTCAGCCTCGTGCCTGGTGACTTGCCGCTGTGTGTCAAGGTCACACTTGTGACCTACCAAAACAAAGACGATCTGGTATGGCTGGACGTGCACCTTGGTCTCCTCTAGCCACTCGTGGACGTTCTGGAAGGACCTGCGGTTTGTAATATCAAAGAGGAGGAGTCCACCAACTGAGTTCCTGTAGTAAGCTCTGGTGATGGACCTGGAAACAAATGAACCACAACAAAAGTATAAGTAAGTTACAGCTGCTTGGGAAGAAGGGCAGAGAGAGTTCAGGTGGGGTTTTGTTTGTTTGTGTGTGACTTCTGATTATTGCTTTTTCTTTCTGTAGCCCTTCTGAAGGGCTGGTCTCTGTTTAATAAAGCAGTGTTACCACCACCCTGTGTGCACTGCAGAATACAGGGCAGAGGAGCCATTCAGTGTCTTACCACTTTTAGCTTGTCCTCTGTAGAGCCTGCCATTCAAATCTTGGCCTAAAGATTTCATCCTTGGGTAACTGCCCTGCTGATTCATCACAGCTGTGTTCCAAATCCCCACTACCACGCTCAGTCTCTGTTTTCTATCATATGCCCTTTGTTGTTAGTCCTAAGAGTCCATCCCCCACCATATAAGTCCTCTGCATACCCTGTTTAACCCATCAGTTTAGAAGCACTGTTACAAATTAAAGGGTCCATCTGAAACCAAACAGACACATAAAACTGACATCTGAAAACTCTGACAGACATGAGAAAGAAGAGGGCTACATTATCTGGAAGGCAGCCCATGGGGTTGCAGCTCGCCTCTGTACATCCAGGGCCTTGGCAGGTAGACATCCACCAACCCCTGCACCTTCTCCACTGTGCTACTGGTCAAAATGATGCTACAACTAATGCACCAAAAGGAGCTAGTCCGACCCCTGAGTAACAGCAAAATGATACCAAAGCTTCCTCGGAGAATGCACATTACCACTGGTCTTGTTCTGCCAAATACTGACAACATTAAATTGTATCCAGAGACCACAGGCTGAGAAATGGAGTGCACAGAATCATCGCAGAATGGTTTGGATTGGAAGGGACCTTAAAGCTCATCCAGTTCCAACCCCCTGCCATGGGCAGGGACACCTTCCACTAGAGCAGGTTGCTCCAAGCCCTGTCCAACCTGGCCTTGAACACTGCCAGGGATGGGGCAGCCACAGCTTCTCTGGGCACCCTGTGCCAGTGCCTCAGCACCCTCACAGGGAAGAGCTTCTTCTGTAATTCTTCTGAGAAAGCACAGGCTTCAGCGCAGCCAGAAGCAGCAACTGGAATAGTGTGAGGTGTCCCTGCCCATGGCAGCGGGGTTGGAACTAGATGATCTTAAGGTCCTTTCTAACCCTAACCGTTCTATGATACAATGAATCAGCCAGCACAGGGCCATGGAGTGAAGCTGAGCTGTGAGGCTGAGCAGAGCTATAGCTCCATCACTACTACACATGGACACACCAAGAAGCTGTAAAGCTGCAATGTTTCTGCAAAGTCATGGATTCATTCTAAATCCAAAAGCAAGGATCAATTTCAGTCCCTAGATAAACTCACATTTGTGCCTGAAGTTTCCTTGCTGGGGAAATATGAGCACTGCTGCATTTTTACCTTGGGATGAGTCCTGTCTGGATATGTGAGACTATTGTTAGGGGTTATTTGGTCCTATAAGGCGTGTACCTGGCAAAACTGCCCCAAGAACAGGTGACCTGGAGTTTTCAAGGATTGCTTTATCAACAGACATGCAATGATGGGTGAAAATCCACAGCCAAAAACTGAAGAAATCCAGAAGAGGAGGGGAAAAAGACACTTGGCTGCATTTGGATGATTTCTCCTCTCCCAGTTATCTGGCTGAAGGACAACAGTAGATCTGCACATTTGGCACTGAGGGAATTAGTTCTGCCTTTTGCTATCTAGCCAGCTGCAAGCAGATATTGGAGCTTTGAATTCACCCCCACACTGTCACAGGCATTTCTGCTTCTCCCTTGTGTTCCCTGCTACCAGCCCTGGCTCCTCCTGCCAACACCAACAATGCCTCAGGTACTTCTGAAAGACATGGCAGGATCTCAGCTGAATGCTGCTTTGACATAAAACTAGGTGAAGGTCTCAGCGCCTTTCCTTAAAACCTTCTCTACAGACTGTTTTCCTATCAACACACAGGAAGCAGACTACATCGCCTTCACACTGCATGTCACCCCCCAGTTCCCTTCCAAGACTGCTACCTTGCCTCCTCCAGCCATGCTCATGCAGAGCAGTACAGGGACTTGCACCTATTTTGGCCAAGTTTTAACATAAAGCTATTGCCTCCAGCTGGGAGGTCTCCCCTGCTCTGTACCCATGGTGGGAATTCCTGAACCCAGGTCCATGTCTGGTTGAGTCCTTCAACAGCTCTGCTGTAGGGGGGTTACACAGTTCAGGGAGTGAGGGCTGCACATGCTTTTGCTTTTGATGACCTTACACAACATCACGTTTTAGGCAAGGAACTTGCAGTATGTGAGCAACCAGAGATGGGCAGAACCTGATGGATCCAGGAAGAATGGGACCCTGCTCCTCTACATCCCCAAAGCCACCACCTCAGCATTGCCATGCAGCATGTTTTGGGGCCTGATCAGGCAAAACAGAATGAATGGCACATGCCTAACTGTAATTTAAGCCTTGACTGCACGGAAATTGCTTCTAATTTATGAAGAGTGAAAGAGCTCACAATGGGGGTCAGGAAGAGCAGAAATGCAGCACAGCCGCAGGGCAGAGAACGCCAATGAGGTATCTTCAAGATAACTACAGTGGTTTCCTCCTTGTGCAGTAGCTGTTAAACTATGCAAAGCAGAGTGCGAATGCTCAAGTCTGAGAACTCTGAGAGGTGCTCCTTCCTACAGATTTCCTGATTAAGAGGTTCCCTGGGCTCTCACAAAGAAGTTTAAGGGCTCCGGAGAGCACCTGCACCATCGTGCTTCTTGCCTACACCCACAAGTCTGAGAGGCTTCAGTAACATCTACATCTTTCTTTTTGCCAAGAAAAATGGCTTTTAAGAGACCAAGAGCTTCTTGCTGCCTTTATGGGGCACAACTTGTCCCAGGGCTAATGGTGATCTGAAAGGGATAAACACAAACCAGACTTTTTGCCTGTTTTTTTTCATACTTCCAAGTGCACCATAAAGACACCAGGGTTTGCTCACTTCCCTCTAGCTTTTCACAGTGGGAATTTAAGCCTGTGCTTTGGGAAGGGCATTTCAAAGCTGCATGGTGTGGGGGTTTTTATGTCACTCACTCATCCTGTCCCTTCCACCCTTCCTGCCTGTGCATGCTGCTGCCCACGGCAGCAGTGCAGCCTGCCCTTGCGCAGAAGGTCGCTTGCTCATCATGCTTACAACCCCAAGTGCTGGGCTGGGTCAACCACCAGCACATAGGGCAAGCAGCTTCCAGGGCCCCAAACTCCCCAGTGTGTAAAAGAAAGGAAACTGGAGCTATCCACCACCTTTTCTTCTTCACAGCAAAGACAGGAGCAGGGGACAGCACCCAAGCATGCCTTCTACGGGCCTCAGCCAGAGATCCAAAGCTAGAAGCTGATGCAACTGCAAGCTAAAGCACCTCCTCTCTCAGCAGAACAGAGCACCAGCTCCTCGCCCCAAAAGGCTGCAAGGTAGCAGAAAACCTGTCAGAGGATAAGGACCAACTACTGCACAGCCTGGGCCAGGCGCCAGCACCACGGATATGAAGGAAGGTGGTGAGAAGGGTGGGGAGGCTTCATCTATTGAATGAAACCACAGCATTCCTCAGGCCAGGCATTACTGCACAGAAGCAGAGCTGTGAAGCTGCGCAGAGATGTGCAGCAAGGAAACTGTTCCCCGACAGAGCAGGGTGAAAGCACAGATAAGGGCTAAAGATGCACGTAAAATATAAGCAAACGGGAGGTAGGGAGCTGAAAGTGCAATCACACCCCTTCCAAACAGCACTGTCAGAGCAGTGTGTGTCCCATGACACCACCAGCCCCCCCCCCCCCGTTTAGCTGGGGTCAAGCCTGCTCCATCACTGCTGCTTTTACCACACAGCTCCGCATGGAACTCTTGGCATGGCCCCATTTGCCACCTTTATCTCCTCTCAAGTCTTCGTTACTATCACTTAACCTCTCACAGGTCTGTGCCCACGCAGCGCTCAGCGCTGCACTCTCCAGAAAGCACCCGTCACCTCTGCACAGCCACAACTAAGGGTTTGTCCCGGCCTTTCTCTGTCCTACACAGCTAAGCTCTGCTGTCGCTGCAGAGGATCAAACCACACATCCGATTGCGTTTAGCGAGCCTAAGCGCGTTCAGCTGTGAAACATCCTGGTTACTGCTCCTGCACCAACAGGGAGCAGGCGCTTTCCCTGCCGAGCTGCATCCTCTGATGCACAACTCCTCGCTCACGGCTACCGCGCAGGGCTGGTAAACATCCCCAAAACATCCCACAGACGTCCCCAGCCCAAACCCCAGCCTCTCCTCCGGACTCCGTCCCCCTCGCCAGCGGCATCGCTCGTCTACACTTGCACCCTACACCCCCCCTTACATCCTGCACAGCCAGCACATCCTGCACACCGGGGCCGCGGCCATGTGCGGTGACACAAGTCCAGGGGCACAAACGCTTCAGGGCGATCTGGGGGCAGAGCTACCAAACCGAAAGCAAATCGAAGGGAAAAAGATAAAAGCTGAGGGGCAGCGACAGGCGCGTTTGAACCAGCTTTGTCCCAGCGCCAAACGCCTCCTCCGGCGGTGCGGCCCCGCGGGAGCCGGCCCCAGCCCGCATCCCCGCACGCTGCCCCCGCCGCCGGTCTCACCGGAACCGCTCCTGCCCGGCCGTGTCCCAGATCTGCAGCTTGATCCGCTTGCCCGGCTCGATCTCCACCAGCCTCGAGAAGAAATCCACGCCCACCGTGGGGTCCGAGATCTGGGCGAAGCGCCCCTCGGTGAAGCGGCGGATGAGGCAGGACTTGCCCACGGTGGAGTCGCCGATGACGATCAGGCGGAACTGGTACAGCCAGATGGCCTCCATGCTGCCGCCGCCCGCCTCAGCGCCCGCCCGCCGCCGCCGCCGCACCGCCCATGCCCGGCCCGCGGGCCCGGGGGCAGCCGCCGCTGCGTTCGCCCGCAGGGGGCGCGCCGGCCGGCGGGGAGGCGCCGCTAGGCCGGGACCGCGGCGCACCGGAGGCAGGCGGCGGACCGGGCCTGAATCTGGACCGGGACCGGGACCGGGACCGCTCCGCCGGAGCTCGGACGGGCGGCCCCGCTCTCCGCGCCACAGCCGCACCGCTCAGGCGGGCCCCATGGCGGCCGGCGCAGGCCCCTGCCAGGCACCCCCCGCTGGCCCCGTCACCGCCGGCGCATCCCGCCGAGCCGCACTGAGGTGCCGCGGGGCGCGGCGGGCTCCGGCCGCCGCCTCAGCCCTGCAAAACCGCGGCGCTGGGGTCCGCTCCCGCGGAGCCCGCTCTCCCGCAGCGCCGCGGCGGGCGTTCCGTGCGGCTGCAGTGCTCCCGCCCCCCGCCGGTGCTGGTGTCGGTGCTGGAGCCGGTACCGGGTGTCGGGACGGAGGCGCGGCCGAGTGCGGGGCGCGCCGTGGTGCAATGGCGGCCGCGCTCTACCGCACTGCCGGGAGGAGCCGCCACCCCCGAAACGCGGCCGCTGCGGGAGCCGGGCGGGGGCGGGGCGGGGCGGGACCGTGCGGGGTAGCCCCGGGCGGCGGGGAGCCGTGCCAAGGCGGGGGGGAGCAGGGCGCCAGGCGGACCCCAAAGCTAAGGAGCACAGGCCAGCACTAACCGGCCTTGGGTGAGCGGTTCTAGCGGGGTGTGCAGCACCTCCCTGTGCGTTAGAGCCGAGTCTCGTTTCCGAGCTCCACACCTTTGCATCGGGAGCTTCGTTCCCATTGAAAGCTAACGCAGAGCCCCAGGTGCTCCTGGCACTGTCAGGGAGTTTCAGCACTGCCCCCCAGGGCACCGGTCACTTGTATCATTGAAGCCTTGTCTGAAGGGGACAAGGGTACCGGTAAGATACCGTACTAGCAGACTCATGAAACCCAGCAGAGCCACGTGCATGTATAAACAGTGTATGTGTGTATGTATGTATCTATGTGAGGTGTATTGTCTCAAAAATGAATAGTTACAGACATTAACTACACAGCAATTTAAATACCACAAATCCTAACAAACCCATTTTCCCCCGCTCTACTTGAGCCGGTTCCTGGCTCCACAGGGTGAAGCACAGTGTTCAGGAACCCCAGCAACAGCATACCTTGCACAGTGTATACACAGATGCCTTGGATTGTAAGTCCCAGTTCTGATGAGTCTATCCCAAACAGGTAGTGTAGCTCTGTGGGATACAGCTGAGCTCAAGCGCCTGCTGCTTCAGCACTTGACAGCGCAGTTTTGGTCTCTGGAAGGGAAGATGAGCATGTATATTATTAAAAACAGCTACTAAAATGTCTATATTAAGTCAAACATTAAAAAAAAAAGGATTATTGACACTTCTTTTTTATAAATTTATGAAAGCATTGGTGTGCTTTCTTTTTTTAGTTAAAGATAGTTTCATTAATAGCTCATCCTGCATGACCACTATTGAAATAAACAAAATCACAGTGGCTATTATATTCATTAGATCCTCAAAAAAAGACATTATTATAGGTATGAGATAGTTAGCCAGCTTGTAAATTGGACTAGAACATTAAAGAGACCATTTCAAGTCCTGAGGAATAAATGGCAAGCAATTGTTTCAATACCCTTTGAAATATGTATATTAAGAAATAACAACCCAAAAAGATGCTCTTCTAATGTACCTCAGGACAGGAAAGAAAACCAATGAAGCAGTTTGCACAACAACAGAAAAGGTGCAGCAGAGAAATATTAAACCTATAAATCCCAGTTAGCAGTACATTAACCAGTGAATCATTGCCAGCGGTGCTTTGTGGGGATCTGTTGCACTTTACCGTATGATTTCTTGGTGCTCAATGCCCATTAGTCAAGCCCACAACAAACTGTGGTTTCTCTTAACTGTTGTTCTCCCCTCCCCACACACATGCACACATATTCCCACTCTTCCACCACCAGATGCCACTGATGGTCGATTTGCAGGTCAACCGTCAGTGGCATCTCCAGCAGGTGTCTGAAGGCAGAGGTGCCAGTGGACATTCCATGGCAGTGGTGTGAGCTATGCCAGGGAACACCTGAAGCTCCCTGACTTGCAGGGCTGTGAGGAGCCAGGGAGAGCACCAAGGGGTGCACTGGTACCCAGCAAACGCTGTCTTAGCCAGAGGAATTCCCATACCATGAGGGACCTGTTTCCCCCAGCAAGTAAACTTGCAGGATCCCATGATGCTGATGTTACTTTCATGCATACAGATGAACACACGCTGCATGACCAGGCAGCCACGTTATTAATTAGCAGCAACTGAGAAGGTTGGAGAAAATGAGATCCTGGGAGAGCCCTTGTTCTGGTACCATTGTAGAAAATGGAAAATGTGGTGTCTGAAAGAGAGATACAGAGAGTTAACCTAGATTTGATGTAAGGCAGGTTTGTTGGTTGGGGACAGGATGGCGGGTGCTGGTGAGAAGCAGTAGGAGCATGGGTGCACTTGCAGCAGCCCCCGGACTGGAGGCAGCCTGTCACTGCTCCTTCCCATGCGTGATTCCAGAGGAGCTGCTTTCTCCTCACAGCTGCTAGTGCTGCAGGGTTGCTGCCTGAAAACCATGTCAGCACAGGCTTGGGCATGGCTGAACCCATGCTGACACACAGGGGCCAAGCTCTGGCATCTACAGCAGCACCCATGGGAGTCGAACCCAGCTGCTGGTGCTGTCACAAGAGGTCAAAGGAAGCTCCCGCACCCTGCACTGTGTATAGCCAAACAAGGGGTAAAGCCCTTCCCAAGGGCCACCTATGCACACCTGAGTGCAGCTCCTGCACAAGGTGAAAAACATCCACACATCAGCCACTGGAATGGGTACTTCTAATTTAGTACATCTACTTTAATGCAAGGAAGCTGGGACAAAAGGGCATGAGGGCTGGAAAACCACTCCCTTGCTACCCTGCTCTGCCTGTAGTCTCTCTCCCAGAGCAATTACATGAACTTCTTTTAAGTGTCAGGTGATGAAGCCCAGAAGGGGCTTGTGTGAGGCCAGTTCCAACCCACTTCACACTGGTGGGTGACGAGTGCCATATGTGCTCTAAATAGCAGTGACCACAACCATGCAACTTCATGCTAAGAGCCCAGTGCCAGCCTCAGGTTCCCTGTGGCTGGGGCAGGAGGGTTCCAAGGCAGATAGGTCTTCTTGGGCAGAAGCTTTCTGCCATGATGCCAATGCTCACTGTGGCTAGGCCACAAGCAGAGAAAGTACTGAGCCATGGTCAGGGATGTCATGGACAACAGCACTGCATTTCACAGGGTACTTCCCTCTCAATAGCTGAGTTGGAGTTTAGTTTTGATCCAGAACCAGTCCGATAACTGGCAGCTGGAGGCCAAAGCCATCTCCAAGCCAGTGGCAACACTATGAGGAGGAGAGCACATCAGCACTGCATGCCCCATGCAATTTTAATGCCCTTTCAGTTTCCAAGGATACAAAAAACAATCAATCTGACACAATCCCTGGCTGCGGGGCTGGCTGCACAGGAGCTGCCTGAGGCAGCCCGAGCCTGCTCCCAAACCTGGGAAGGTGCAGCGACGGCAGCACACGGGTGAACCAGAGCACCCCAACCCATGGGCTGACATCCCCAGCCCTCACAGGTTTTGTATTCCAGCCCCACTCGCAATGGAGCTGCTCATCACTGCAGAGATGAACTGCATCCAAGCCGAGCCCTGCCAGTGTATGCTACCAGCTAGGCCAAAGACCAGCTACGCACTGAAAATGGTTACAGGCCCCACACGAGGGTGATGGGCATGCTGAGAACAGGTTGGCTAACCACACACAGCAAACAATTTATTAGCTAGTTTTGATAAAACACCCGTTAAATTAGGCCTGTCCAGGAGATGTTACATGGAGACAGACGATTACACTGTTGACAGAGACGTGATTACACCTAGGACTAGCTAATGTGTGCCCAGGACAGAGGGAAGGTATTGGGTGAATTAGTGTTTATTGTTTATATGATGCCCACAGTTAGTCAGGGTGGTGCAGACAAGCGTAAAGCCAAGGCACTGCACGGTACTCAGGAACTGACAGCCCAGCTGACAGCAGGCATTGGAAGCATAATTCAGGACTCTGTGATGGGGTGACAGCCGTACAGCCTTCAACAGCAGTAGCAGGAGGGAAGCACAGGCAGGGCTGAATGCCAGAAGGCACACGGTGAAGCTTCTGTCCCACCTTAGCTTTTGGCTGGGCTAAAGTGTCTTTTGTAGTGGTGGACTTCTGTGGCAGACTGGCAGCCTCTGTCCCCCGGAAACTTGTCTGACCTCCCTCACCAAACACCAACCTGTCAGCAAAATGCTTCTAGTGCATAATGGAGTACTGCACACCAAGCATGGCGGTTGAGGTTCCAGGAGTGACATCCTGCAGGGGTACCACTGGGATTAAATCAACAGCAGTAGAGCAGGCACAAACTTGATAAATATAGTCATGGCTGAGTGATGCTGGCTGTCCCATTACTGGTCCCCCATTAATACATTACCTGTCATAGCCAACAGAAAGAGGCAAGAACATTTTAAGAGCTATTTCTCCCACTCAGCTTGACGGGATGAACTGTCCTCCACCACTACTGCTTTCTCCCTCGGCTGTAGAAGAACAAAGGGCCTAGCACAGAGCAGCTGTCCCAGAAAGCTTGAATTGCTCTATGCCCTCAGAGGCTCTGCCTCCTCCCAAGGAGCTTAACAGAGATGCAGCTGCAAAGCCAGCCAGGATCTGTGCCAATGGGAGAATGTGGGAGAGACACCAAGGCAGGGAAACTTCAGAAATAACCAGCAAAGCCTCTTGAGTCAATGACAGTGCTCCAGGACACTGTTAGCATTTGCTTTGCAACCTGAATGGACAGGGAATATTTAACTCTCTTATAGTGTGATCCACATGGGTGGATGTGCACAGAGGATGAGCTTGTCCCTGCATCCCTGCAGTGGCAGAGCCACCCTCTGGTGCCACACAGCACTCCCATGACATAGCCTCCAGCCCCAAGAGC